AAAGGTCAGAACCCTTACTGATTATTTTTTTTCAAAATTTTAATGTATAGGTTTGCTCAGAGGTACATCTTGCCAAATTCTAACTTTTGGCTTATTACCAAAAGTCTGAATTGTTAAAGCAATTAAAAAACCATAAAGTATTATTTCATACCTGAGAGTTAGATTTACCTCTTCTACCCTGAAGCAGTGTTACTAATAGTTGTGAGTTAATATACAGCATGTCTTCTTATTTATTAAGCACTTCCCTAAACCTGAAGCCTTGAGTTTGTTTTGCAAGCTTTTCTTCTTAGATTCATTGGAGATCTGATATTCTGAACTTTGGGGAAACTGTTTTTCTTTTCTTCGACTCTGGCTTGACACAGCAACCACTGAATCTTCCTGCCACAGCTCACCTTTTTTCAGTTACACTGATGGGTGTTTGGAAAGGCAAACTGGAATAAAAAATTTGGAAAGAAGCCTCGTGTAATTATGTTTATTCTTTTACATGCTCATATCTCTTCATAACTTTATCCTGAATACTATCTGGCTCATTATCATCTTTTCAGGGTAAACAGCGATATATGTAGCCTATGTGAAAAATGAGCTTTTCTGCAGAACTCTCATTTTCTTGATTCTTTGAGATAAAATAAATTTCACTGAAGAAGCCTTTGAATGTCACTTGTAGAAACATTATCCTGTAATCCACAGGCAAAGGAAGATACTGCATTTTACACAAGACATTAGTTTAGATAAGATTTTATGTCAAATGTTCAAGCTGAACTGAATTTAATGCAGAATACCAGTTTTCACAAGAAGTGCGGTAATTAGAAATCTGTACAAACTTTTTCCCCGGTGGCTGCCTTAGGCTGATACAGTTATTAAAAGCTGTGGTCTTAATATGTTTTATTTTTGATTAAGGGTTTTATTTTTCTGCAGCTGAGTACTGAACTTTTATTGTTTATTGTACAAACTCTCAACAAGGCTAACAATAACAAAATTAAATTTAAATATTTTTTTTAAACATCTAACACCTAATTTGAAATGGATTAATCAAACAGATGCCAACAATCCAACTCAGGAACAAACATTCTTACATTCATCAAAACATTTTACTGAAAAATTTCAAAAATAAGATAACATGAGATTCTATGGGAGAATGCTCTAAGCAAGAAAACATGCTTTTGATGAAGGTAGATCTAAAAGAAGGGGCTTACCTAAAACAGTTAGAATTTGTAAGTGTAAATAATGTATTTGAGCAGCTTGGTCTCATGCTATATTTAACATCATTCAGTGTACTTGTTTTGTACTTATCAATAATTCAATAAAATTCATTTAACATCTATTCATTCTTGATCCCAAATCTTCTTGCCTTATCACAACAGTTTCCATTTAACTTTTATATTTCTCTTAACAAATCCAACCCTGCTTACTACATGAAAAAATAGGAGAAGCTTCTTTTAATAAATATTAAAGAAATAATTGCTTCTTTTAATAAATATTCATTTTGCGCAATGGTCTACATACATGTTTATTTTTCTACCAATAATCCTAACACTCCATTTTCCATATCTAGTAGTAATTATATAACACTATACAACTTCATCTACTTTCTTTGGTTTTTCATCATAAACTTTTCTATTTATCTTGTCAACATATCTATTTTGGAGTTTGATTTTCAGATATATAATTTTTCTTGTGTCATACAATATATCTAACATTTGCTGCAAATCATTTGGATTCTGAGCTAACAATTCAGCTTTGTTTGTATTTACTCAGCACAACTGAGTAAATATGAACAACTCCACAAGTATCCCTTAATATTTATCCAGAAATACATTAAAAACCATTTAATTAAGGACATAACATATAATTTTGTTTATCCTCATATATGGTTTCCTTCCAATGTATACTTCTTATTAGCAGTCTATTAGCAATCAACTTCCAACTCCATATTCACATATAATTTTCCATACTAAAATCCTGTTTACTTGCCATACACATTATCTAAATAAAGAAAATACAATAAACTTTATTGCTGTCATTGATGGATTTTGGTTTTGCATAGTTGATTATGATAAATCTGAATTTGTTGTGATAAATTTGGGCCAGTTTTCTGTTAATGCAGCTATTTCCACTCAGCTGAGTTAATTTAACATGAAATTTATTTCTGTATTTAGAAGACCAACTTGGGATATCTGTACCTTTTCTTTGGGACATTAGGAAATTTCTATCTTGATAATACAATTACAAAGCAGTTTTCCTTGATTGTTTGCCAAAGAGACAAAAATCTTCCTGTACAGAGGACAATAGCTGGTGGAGTGGAGACAAGATGATGAATGAGATTTATTCCTGGCATAATGCAACAGATTTGGCAAGTTGACCATTGTAAGCTATTCATTAACAGTTTCTAAGGGCTATAAAAGATTTTAGATTTATTTGGGGGAGGAAATGTGAAGTATCTTTACTATCTTTCATGAATCTTAATAAAATATTGCATCTTGGATGCAACTAGATATCCTTTTTGTGGTGGGTATGCCATAAAAGACAATATATGAGAACTTACTCTATGAACCACGTTAAGTATTATATTTATTATACTTTATTATAATACTACTATTATACTATACTATTTCAAATAATCTTTGGAAGCTAATTGCTGAGGTACGGATTTCCTCACTCACATAAAAAAAATCTGTTGAATATGCTCCATCAAGGAAACAACTGTTATTTCAACTTCTCTTTTCCCTCTTTTCCTGGGATATGGGGACATGAACAAAAGGTTGTATGCATAATATTTCTAAATAAAAAGTTCATATAGAAACTGTGATTTTAAAAAAAGCAAATAAACTCACAGAGGAACTTTCAGTCTAGTTTAATCTCTGAGAAAACTGAAGATGGAAGGGATTATTTTTTATGCTTCATAATGGGGAGCAGAGGTGGGCTTGTTCATAGAGTATTATATTGTTTCTGGCCAGTTCTTGGTTTGTTATTAGTCTCAGCCCAAAATTGGCATGTATTTCTGGGCTCTTACAGAAAGGTGGTCAAATACAGAATAAGGAAAAAGGGCTGTGTGGTAAGTAATCTGTAATGCCCAATAATGGATGTATTTTCAGGAGGGGAGGAGACTGAAGAGAATTATCTATATACAGAGGCTTTCATGACTTATCTGGTTGGTATGTTCAGACTCAAAAGGGGAAAATAACGAAGAGATTGCAGTTGAGTTAGATTTTTTTTGTCACTCCTGAAATCTAACTATGAGATCAACATTTCAGAGACCAAAATGGTTTTATGTAATAAATGTCATTCTATTTCCTCTGTTATATAAGCTTCCTTTATTTTCATGAGTTAAATATTGTACCCAACTTCACTCTATCTCTGTCATCTTTTGGTAGAAATGCTTCATAAGTTTCAGTTTAAAAAGTGGAGTTCGGAAGCCTGTGCTGATCCGAGCACTCTGCCAGCAAAAACAGGCTTCCGAACTCCGTTTTTGGCTGCGATAGCCTCCGGAGACCCTCTGCGAGCAAAAACAGATCTCGGGAGGGCGGAAGGCTGAGTTAACCTTGAGCTGGTGAGACCCAAACTGCCTTAACTGCCAAACTGCTGGCAGCTGGTGATCAGCAGAAGTAGCCTGCAGTACTTCAATCTAACCACTGTGCCACAAAGCTGAAATATAAAAGTTGGTTATATTAAATCAGAGACAGACAGTCTAAGCTCAAAGAACCCTCAAAAGTAGCCCTCAAAACCAATATTTTTCCTGGTATTTTGAAGTGGGAGTATGCATAAGATATAGCATGGGACCATTATGTAAGTTTAACATAACATTTTAAGTAATAAATATGTATGTGTGCTAGTATAATCTTAATAACCAGGACAACCCTCCTAAAAAAAAAAAAAACAGAAAAATTTGGACCCTTCCATGTAGTTTCATAGATTGCCTGCTTTGCCCACTCTTTATATCCATTATTCTTAATTCTTAACATTATTCTTAACATTATTCTGTTATGCATCAGTTTCTGCATTTAAACCTTCCATTTCAACATAAGAGTACCAGATGGAAGTTACCAATAATTATTATTATTATTAATTAATGTTCAGAATTTTCTATATTTCTTTGTTAGTCTAGTAGTCTGGATTTTATTTATATATTCTTTGGTAAATGGAAAGAGCTACATAATCAGAAGAAAAACTAGGTTACTTTTATTTTGTAATAAATATTTGTTGAGAAATTGAAAGTTTCTAATCTATGGCAGTCTGTTTGTCTTATATGCCACCATATTCTTGAGTCTTTGATGGAGTAAAGTTGTAACTTACTAATGATAATTCAATAAGCATCATATTAGTTATTCCGCCTTCAGAGATAATTATATATATTATTAGAAAACCTGGAACCAGGCTGGCCAGTAGTAATTTCCATCAAATTTCTGAGAAAATTAAAGAGATACTGCCATGCATAGAGGAAGTCCAAATAAGATGACAAAGATGATAGAGGAAACCCACGGACCACAAAATACTCACTGTTTATCTGAAAGAGAGGGGGGGAAAGGGAAACTGGTAATGGTAAAGAGGACTGGATGAATGCAGAAGTGCTTGACCGATATGCTCAGAGCTAATCCTAGTTTGAAGAATAATGAGCTTTTAGCAACAGGTTTTAGAGAGATATATTAATTAGGTAATTACTGTATTGTTACAGCCACTAAAATGGAAGGATTCTTGTGTAACATTTTACACATTTCAGATGAGCAATAAGATAGCTAAACAGAAAATTGATAGGGTTTGGTTTCTTGATAGTTTTTTGTTGTTAACTGTAATTTGTTGTTTGCCACACAGTGTGATATGTCAAATGAACACCCTTCCTTTCCTTTTTTGAGACCTAAAGAGTTATAAATGTTTCAGTTTAGGGAAAACTAAAAGACCCATTCATTAGTATTTCTAATGAAATTTGCAATGCAAGTAAGTTCCAATTTGTATGTCCTTCTTAATTATGTTGAATCATTACTTCTCTCAACATCTTCTTTTTACAGCTCATCATGTTAAAACTGGAACTTGTGAAGTGGTGGCACTCCACCGATGTTGTAATAAGAATAAAATAGAAGAAAGATCACAGACAGTCAAGTGTTCCTGCTTTCCTGGTCAGGTAGCAGGTACCACTCGAGCAGCTCCTTCCTGTGTTGATGGTGCGATATCTTTGGTGCTTTGTTCTTTCTTTTTGAGTTGTAGCTCTTCTAAGATTGATTCTTTTAAATGAAAACAATTGTTGAAATGTGTGTGTGTGTGTGTGTGTGTGAGAGAGAGAGAGAGAAGAAGAAGGCTTGGGAGTATGGTGAAAGTACTTAAAATGAAAGATAACTAGAAATTTTGATATAAATTATGAAGTCTGAAAATGAAATAAAGCCCTTATGAAAAATGAATGGCCATATAGCCTTTATAGTAGGAATTGTATTAAGTTTATTTTGTTTATTTGCACATCAGACTACCTTTTGTTTTGTTCTGATGCAAATAGCAGACATCAGAAGGTGCAGAAACTCCAGCCAGGAATATTTTGTTCATACAATGCACACATATGTCTTATAAACTTTTTTAAAAAGTATGTTGGATGAGATCAAATACTATTTTAGTCCAATGTAGTATATAAATTTAACATTACCTCAGTACAGTATTAATATTCATCACCAATATATATTGTATATTCACCCTGATAATATTTCTCTGATATAAGGCAAAAAAGATTTAATTAAAAACAATAGGCTTTTCTCTCCCTCTTCTTTAGCCTCAATTGTAGAACAAAAATGGTGGTGCCACATGCAACCATGTCTTGAAGGGGAGGAATGCAAAGTCCTCCCAGATCGAAAAGGGTGGAGCTGTTCATCTGGGAATAAAGTGAAAACAACAAGGGTAAGTGGGAATTTCCCATGAAATATAGTTGCCAGATTTTATAAAGAGAATTGTGAACTCGATACAGATATGGAATAGGTGTAATAGAGAAAAATAATAATTGGCTTGGCCTTGGATATCTATCAAAGGCAATATGTAAGTTATTTATGAATATGTTACTTTGGTGGATTATTCTAAGTATTATTGTATCTAGATCTAACAGCTATTTTGATTTAACTGTTGTCATGATAATTATTTATAATTGATCTGCATGCCTTGAAATTTAATATTCACTCTTAGTGATGAGCCAAACTGGACTCGTAGTCAGATTCATATATTGAGCTAAATATTTTGTGTATCTATAACATTGGATTGTTTGTTTATCAAGCACATTTATACTGCTGATTATAATCAATTCAAACATTCAAGTTATTTATTCAATAAATAAAATGTGTCTTCTAAGATTTAGCTTTTGTTTAGATTTATTTCATAATGAAAACAGAAGAAAGAACTGTCACTTTTATCATGGAAATCTCTGATCACTCCTTAATTAATGTTACTTTTGCTTGATGTTGGCAGATGAGATTCTGCCGAAACTTTGCTACAACTTTAAAAGCACAACTATAATGACGTGGGAAAATACCCAAACAAAGCTGAATACCATACATATATCTATATCTATATCTATATCTA